TTTGTGTTGGATCGAGACTTGGACCGGGGTCAGGTTGGGTCCTATGGGTTTTGTGTTGGCTGTAGACTTGGACCGGGGTCAGGTTGGGTCCTATGGGTTTTGTGTTGGCTGTAGACTTGGACCGGGGTCAGGTTGCATCCTATGGGTTTTGTGTCGGATGTAGACTTAGACCGGGGTCAGGTTGGGTCCTATGGGTTTTGTGTCGGATGTAGACTTAGACCGGGGTCAGGTTGGGTCCTATGGGTTTTGTGTTGGCTGTAGACTTGGACCGGGGTCAGGTTGCATCCTATGGGTTTTGTGTCGGATGTAGACTTAGACCGGGGTCAGGTTGGGTCCTATGGGTTTTGTGTCGGATGTAGACTTAGACCGGGGTCAGGTTGGGTCCTATGGGTTTTGTGTCGGATGTAGACTTAGACCGGGGTCAGGTTGGGTCCTATGGGTTTTGTGTTGGCTGTAGACTTGGACCGGGGTCAGGTTGCATCCTATGGGTTTTGTGTCGGATGTAGACTTAGACCGGGGTCAGGTTGGGTGCTCTGGGTTTTGTGTTGGATGTAGAATTGCTTACAGGAAGATGTCCAGAGAGTAGAGATCAATGACTTATCCTCTTACTGGTCTCCCGTTGTGAGCGGAGGGCCCCAGGGCAATGTTGGTAATGATAATGAGACTGGAATTAGGAGATGTTTGCCGATGACACCCAATTCTGGAGATAAATTTGGCCGGAGATTTATCACCAATGCAATATTCCAGAGATGGCTCCAGAGATCTTCCCCTTTTATAAACCTCGGGTTCGGCCTTATCTAGAGGACACAGTTCAGTTTTGGTCATCAGTCCTCAGGAAGGACTCCAGAGAAATAATCCAGAGAAGGACAACCAAAGGAATGCGGGGGGAAGGAGGACCCGAACTATGAGGAACATCTACAGAGATGACATGGCCGAAGGGGCGAGGTCACCACAATGTAGAGATATATCAAAGGTGATCAGATCACCAGTAATGAGCTCTCTACTCTGAGGTCCATGAGGAAGACCCGTGGACACCATGTGAGATCAGATGAGAGGGGATGGGTGATGTCTCTCCTGATTGGTCCCAGGTGTGGTACTGGTCCATGAGGAAGACCCGTGGAACACCATGTGAGATCGGATGGGACATAGGGCTCACTGCACTCTGGAAAGACTACTTAGATGTGGGTGATGAGACTCTCCTGATTGGTCCCAGGTGTGGTACTGGTCCATGGGGCCCTGACTCGCATTGAGGGCCCCCCAGGCTGGTGGAAGGAAATGGTAATACATGGTTTTCTTGGTGTGGAGGATCCCGGGATGTATGTGGCGGGAGATATGGGGAATACACAAAGGTCGGACCTGATGGACTCCGGGAACTTTAAGTAACGGTGTCATTCCTAATGATGACGTCACACATGTAACCCGTCACACATGTAACCCGTGTCCTCTCTCCCTCCGCAGCCTCTTGGGTTGTATCTTACCCCCGTCCACTTGTGACATCCTCGACAACGCCAGCCGGCATAGCCGCAGTCTCTCCACACTCCATGTGATGTTTAAAGTCGATACGAAGGAGGAGCGTGAAGAAATGAGACTCTACTATGAGGCCTTCAAACCTCCGGAATGCACCATGTCCACAAGGAGGTACGTGTGATAATGTGAGGGGGGGGGGCTCAGTGAATACAGAGGGGTGCTAGAAGAGGTCCAATGTGTCTAAGGCCATGAGAGGAGCTCACAGACTGAGTCAGCTGAGGACAGCAGATGGTTCATTGTCCTATGTGTGGCCAATAATGGAAGACATCCATCACATATAGCCCTCTCCCCCCCATCCATCATCCCATGTGGTGGTGTGTTCTGTGTCCTGAACTCTTCTATATCTCTGTTCCTGGAAGACATCCATCACATATAGCCCTCTCCTCCCCATCCATCATCCCATGTGGTGGTGTGTTCTGTGTCCTGAACTCTTCTATATCTCTGTTCCTGGAAGACATCCATCACATATAGCCCTCTCCTCCCCATCCATCATCCCATGTGGTGGTGTGTTCTGTGTCCTGAACTCTTCTATATCTCTGTTCCTGGAAGACATCCATCACATATAGCCCTCTCCTCCCCATCCATCATCCCATGTGGTGGTGTGTTCTGTGTCCTGAACTCTTCTATATCTCTGTTCCTGGAAGACGTCCATCACATATAGTCCTCTCCCCCCCATCCATCATCCCATGTGGTGGTGTGTCCTGTGTCCTGACCTCTTCCTGATCTCTGTTTGCAGAATGTTGGGTAAAACCTGGTTCATGCTCCGGTGTAAGCGTGAGAGGATGCCGACCCATGAGATGATGGGACGCCACATGCGGTGGGACATGTTTGACCGGGAGGACATGTTTGACCGGGAGGAGCTGGCCTTCGATTACCGCTCGCGGATCCTGTTTTCGCGCAGACATCTGTGACCT